GTCTTGTTAAGGTGAATATTTTGGGATTAGTGTTCTACATTCTATTTTCATCTTTCCTTTAGCATCCTTTTACTCTACCTTAACTTTACCTTTATGCCAAAACTCTCTTCCTCACTTTTCCCCTTTTGTTGTCCTGTTTCTCTTACCCTATCCCTGCTTTAGATTTTCCCTATTCCTTATTTTTACCTCGTTAAAATTTCACCCTACTTATATATCTAATTTCCAATCCCCTGCTCTAAATCCATATACACCTCTCTCTTCTCTTTCTTCACTATCCAAAGTTATTTTTCTCTCTGTCATTTTGTTGTTGTTTGCTTGATTGTTGAGTATATTGGTTTTTTTTTATGCTTGTTTGTGAGATTGTTTCTTTTTCTTTTTCTGTTGGTTTTTTTTCCAGTTATTTTTTTGCTTCTGTTTTCCCTCGCCTCGCTTGATATTAGTTGTTGTTTGTAGTTTGCATTCATCTCCAGGGATCTGTTGCTGGAATTTGTTGGGATTAGTGGATGTTCTATTGGAGTTTTCTCCCCATATAAATAGTTTCTTCCCTTCTTCTATTTTCATTCTCTTTCTTTTCTCTCTTCTTTTTTTTCCCTTTTCCCAATTTCATTTTTGCACTCCTTTTTTTTTCTTTTTCTCTTTTTTCTTTTTCTCTTCTTTCTTCTTTATCCCCTAATTCTCTTTGGTCAGGTGGTCATCTTTATTTGGAGTTATTAGTAACCTTTCAAGATATTATTTTGAAATAGCTTGATTTTAGCCTTTTTGTTTTAAGAGAACATATTTTATGTAATAAAATTATGGTCCTTCCCATGTCTTCACCACACTATTGTCTGTGTCCATGGGCTATGTCTCTATATATAGAAGTTCCTGGGAGGGACAGTTGTGGGGTGGAAAGGGTCAATGGGGAAAAAAAGGAACATCTGTAATGCTTTCAACAATAAATATAAATTAAAAAAAGATAAAGCCAAAAAATGGTTATATGTTGTATTAAGCAGGAATTTTCTTAAAAGCCATCTTTTAATCATGGAAACTGAAGTTTGCTAGCCTATGTTTGTACCTAATACACTTCAATATATGAACTTTTGGAAAATAAATTTGACAATCCTTCCAGGGTTTGAATTTTAAGAAACTTTTTCTTTACCTACAATTGGCTTTAGATCACTCCAATTGGCTCTGGAATGCCTCGAGTATGTTTTCTCTCTCATGAAGGAAAATTTTCTCCTTAAAGAACATGGGAAGCTTTGTCAAATAATAACTATATTATGCTTTCACTTATAGCTCTGTTATTCAAGAATATTGTGTTTTG